TGATCTCTTCGTGTTGCTTGTTTACCTCTATGTCAATTAGTCCCCTTGGGAGAGACCAATGTTATTAGAACCAAACCGGTTATCGAACTGGCTAAGGGACTGGGTCAATGATTTACTAGTTCAACCGGTGGGTTAACTGGTCGGACCGGTCATATACTAAAAAAAAAAAAATATATATATATGTACCTGACATTGTAATTCACAATGGTATTTTTGTTAATAATCTTAACATCAGTCTCATTCTTGTATTTAGTAGTGGTTTAATTAACTGCTACAATGGTCGCCCATTTGAACTCTCTCTCTCTCTCTCTGTATATATGTGTGTGGGGTGGGTGGGTGGATGTGTGTATGTGTATTAGCAATCAACTTCATAGGCGAGTGATGGGTTTAATCCCTTGGATTTCTTTCTCTTTACTTTGTTGTTGTTGTTGCTAGTTACTTATCCCAAAAGGCATCGAAACCTTTCTTGCTTCAATGCTTTCACTATGACCGAAATAATCCAAACCCTTTGAAGGAGGATCGAAGAAGCTTGAAGGACTGAAGATGTGAAGCTTGAAGGAACACTGACCAAAGTTGTGACCTGTGAAGCTTGAGCAAAGAGAAATCGAGTGGAGAAGGAGTTGCTCGATCAGACCCAATCCTTCTACCTGTGCGTCACTGCGAGTGGAGAAGAATATGTCTAGTGTTGGTCCTGGTTTGGTTTGGTCTGAATCTGTTGGTGTGGTTGAGTGGAGAAGATGATGGAGATTGGCTGGAATTAGGGTAAAATTAGGAATTTTGGAGTTTTTATGAAAAAGATAGTAGAACCGTCTGATTTGACAAAATTGTCCAATTCACGGTTTTTGTCAAAAACCGGCCAGTTTGGTGGTTTTATTCCGGTTTAACTACTTAAACGGTTCAATTCAAGAACGGGACCAGTTGAGGTGCTGGTTCACGGTCCAACCGGCCTGTCCGGTTTGGTCCGATTCTGGTAACACTGGGAGCGACAACCTGGAAGTTGTCAAGCTCAGCTTGACAGAAGGAGTACCCCTTGGGTAATTGATGCCTTTGTTGAAGACATTTGGCAGATTTCAAAGTCCTTTAATCTAGGATTTTTATACAAGCTAAGAGCCTCTAATAAGGCAGATCATTAAGTTGTTGTCTATGTTTTATCCAACTTGTGACGTCCCAAAATTCGGGGGTCCTTTGTTAACCCATTGATCACCCATCAATCCGCGAAATTACCCGTGATAATTGTCCATTCTGACATCACGTCTATCACATCCCTGTAATTGAGATTTCAACCCGCAGGAGGATCGTGTTTTATTTAATCATTTAATTCCATTGAGGTTCAATATACCCCAATGTATCTTATTTAAGATCCATTTGTGTCATTGGAATCAAAGAACATATGGTTCAAAAGCATGACAATGCATTCTTAAAATTTCAGATTTTTGGAAAACCTTCCGGTAGGTTTTGCTTGACCTTCCGAAAGGTTTTACTTACTGAAAAAGTTTATTCAGAGATTTTTCATCGACCTTCCGGAAGGTTTCCCCAATCTTTCGGAAGATTTTGCTTACTGGAATCCTATCTTGAAGAAAGATGTGTCAACCTTCTGGAAGGTTAGAATCGACCTTTCCGGAATGTTTTGCCCACTGTTTGACAATTTTCGTTGTCTATCCAAACCTTCTGGAAGGTTTTGTCTAGACCTTCCAAAAGGTTTTATCCAAAATTTTTTGTTTCACCTATTTTTCATTTCCAATTCATTCCAAACCTTTCCACAAACACCCCAAACATGTAAAATATTGTTTTTCACAAGAGACTTGATACATACCAGTTCTTTTACAATTAATTTCATATGATTACAAGTCCATTTACACAATTACATGCTCAAAATAAAGTTTTACAAAAATTTACTTTCAAAAGCCATAAACCGACTTTTCTTCATCGTTAAGGTCTCGAATGTGAGTCCTCCACCGGTACGAACCTCGCACCTGAAATGTTTCCCGCATATGGTGAACCAAAGCCTAGTAGAATGTTTCCTATAGAAGCTTCTCGCCAACCTAAGTGCATATGCAATGTTTACATGCAACATTTAACAACAACAATCATTTCAACCAACACTTAAGCAAGTCAAGGTTGAAATCTAACATATTATGCCATGAATTAAGATGATGTTCATTCATGCAATTTACCCGAGCCCTTCCTGGCTCCACAACATATGCAAAGTCTATGTGTATAAGACTGAACTTTTCTAACTCCGACCATTTACCTTCTCCCATACTATGCCATGAGTCTCAAAACTGGGCTTTCCACGTGCCCGCCATTGGTGTTACACGCTCAATGACTACTTAAAACCTCTGGGTCTTTCTTGGAGGTGGGTATTTATGGACTTACACCAACGGTTACCCAACCGACACAGAATTCATGGACTTTCACCAACGGTTTTGGGTACACCGACACACTTTATGGGCTCTTATAGCAACAGAAGTGCATATCCAAACACCAGACCTCTCACCCGAGGGATAGTCTAGCCCTTCTTGCTAACTCTGACCTAATTCTTTTTCATGAAATCGTGCGACTCAGCCGGATATTCAATCCAACTTTTTCGAGCCCACCTATAATCCACCTACGTGGTGTTTGATGACAACCATGAATCCACACCCATAAAATGCAATGTCTCTCTACATATGCAATATAATGCACTATTGCTATTTTAATGTCATACTCATATGTAATGAATGTCATATGAGCAACTTTAACCACACGTATACATATATCATACAATTTATCACCAATTTCATCTCAATGTCAACATATCAATGAACATACGTCAACACTTCATTTCCAAAAATAACTCACAAGCATGTTATTTCCTCATATATATCCCAATAACACACTTTGTTCACGAAGACATAATTAAAACACATAGCATGCCCACATAATACCAAGTTCCATGGAATTACAAGTAATTAGCACATACCAATTTCAAGCTAGGAATTTAATTTAAATTAGGTCAATTTTTCATACCCAATTCACTAAATCAATCGATTTCATCAACTCCACATCCATAGGCAAGTGATATATATCCCTATCAACCTACCAATTACATAAAACACTCTAAGTTGTAAAATAAACCCGAGTAGGAAGGAACCCTACTTCTTGAAGCGTGAATTAACGGTAGGACCTTCAAGAATATCCCCTAAGTCCAAAATCTTGATTTTCTAAAATTCCGCCCTTGGAATCTTCTGTGAAACTTGTTTTTGATATAGATGCGAGGCCCTCGATGAGAGGAGCAATTTTAATTCTTGGCCCGTATGAATTTGAGCTCCGTAGCTTCCTAGATCGTAGAGAGAAGGTGGAGAACTTCTCTTTTTTTATCTCTTCTTTTCTCATGTTAAACCGGCTGAACAAATGGGAAAAAAATCAATTTTTTTCCCTATTTATACCCTTTTTTTTCTTGGTCCATTAAGCACCACATGACCCTATTTTTTCGGGTCCGTTTTCGCCTCGAAATGATTAAATTTCGTTCCGATTTAAGTTCAAAATATTTTTGTTTTAACTTACCTTAAATAATTTTTCAAATTTCAAAATTTTATCAAAAATCTCGCTTTTAGGTCACTCAAAACTCGACCGCCTTGTAAAACGTGAAATATTTGACTATCTCAGAATTTGATAAAATTTGAAAGGATAACTAGATTTCACGAGATAAATTCAAATGTGAGGTCCGTTTTGTCATTCGAGATCTAGAAAAATTTAGGTTTTCAACCTGTATTGTAAAGACAATTACCGTTTTGCCCTTTTTGTAAAAAGTTTAAATTTACCGGGTTTTACACAACTCATTAGTCTTGAGTTGGATTAGCTGTCCATCCACAATGTTAACAACTTTTTTATGTTCTCATTGTAATCAAAGCCCTAAAATTTCTGTCCAAAGCCTGAACCAGTACGCCAACTTCTTCTGTGATTAATAGTCTCAATAAGAACTAAGGAAGTTTAAGGGATAATAAAAAATCACTGGAGAACTTGCTTAGAGATTTGATTGTTAAGACAGAAGCCTTTGTTCTTGGTGAGAAATGCAGGCATCGCCTAGGTCTTTGAGGGAAAGTGTGCAAGCGCCATTTTAATAAGGCCAGAGGATGCCGGCTTGAAACACTAGAACAAATGATTCACTTTCAAGAAAGATACAAAAAGGAAAAAATGAGACATCAAAAGCAATATATTCCATACTAACCAGGCGAACATTTGGATGAAGGTAACATCATATTGGCGTCTCATTTTCACAAATTTTATTGCAAGGAATCCCTCGCAGTGCACTTCAAGATGATGAAGAGCGCTTCCTTTCTTTTTGATGAAAATGGGGACCATGGTTTGTGTGCTTGAAATTGGGTATTTTGGGAGGAAAGGTCTGCGTAGGAGTCTGAAAATTGGTTTTACTTACAAACTGTTTGACGAATTTTCTATGTAGGACTCTGTTGTTTTGGACATTGTAAAATCTATTGTAAATTGCTTTAGAATTGATGGGTTGCTGTTTGGGAAGAAAACCATTGTAAATTCTTAAAATTGATGGAAAGTTGATATATTATCATATTGAACAAAACCTTAGCAGTAGCTACATTGGTTTTTTTTCCCCCAAACAAATCAACACTTTATCTCATGTTAACAAATCAATTACAAGAAGCAACCACTCGAGTATACAAGGAACAACCACACTGCACAGCAAAATTGAGGAGGAAGGATCATTGCCTGTGAAAATGCATGGAACAATCACACTCCAGCAACTGGAAACCACAGAAACCAGTAGCTACATTGGTTAATTTTCTTCATGGATTATTATCAAATAATTAGACCATGGTCCTTCAGTTTGTTTAGCACAACATGGTTCCATTGCCAAATCCTTCAGTTTGTTTTTCACTTCAAATTGGAATCCACTTTTGGGCAATTATTGGCTTCTTGTCAAATGAAATAGGCGCATGCCATACAGTTAGATCTTTTTTTTTTTGGCGAACTTTGACGGTGCACACCTAAGCAGCATCTGGTGAACCTCGACGGTGCACAACTAGTCCATTTGCAGCAGAAATTGTAGCCAGCATCTAAGGAGCAGTCAAGCAGAGCAGAGCAGCTGAGAAGTAGTCCAGCTGAAGCAGAAATCGCAGACAACAACATTGGCATGAATAGTGGCATAAATAGTCCAGAAATCTTGTAAGATGCATGCATAAATGATCCAACTAGCTGAATTGCACACATTAATGAGCTTCTTCCAAGACGAAATTTAACAAATATTCAAACCACAATAAAATTAACCAAGTGATAAAATTTATTATCAAAAGGCATATTTCAACCCTTAAGTTGTATTACAAATATCCAAAAGTATTAGAACAATACAACATTGGTAACGCAAGTGGACACAAAATACTAACTACAATCTTTCTCTTACACTACTAGGTAATCTTGTTATTGCATAATGATGCAAATCAACGCCACCATAGCAATAGAAATCACGTCAGATGGACAGAGTAACAGAAAGTGGACACAAAATACTATAATCATCCTCTTGCAAAACTAGACGATCTTCCTATTTTTTGTACTTGCTATAGAAAAAAATAGTACAATGAATGGTTGATTCAAGTTTAAGAACAAAAACTTAACTTTTGAATAAAAAAAAATTCCTAAATTTCTCTCCAACTCATCAAATATACTTGTCATTAGACGTTGATGTTGAAGACGTAAATGGCAACTCCAAAATGTCTACCATTTCTTTGGAGCTAGAACAAGGCAAATGGTGCATACCCTATTCACCATCCCAAGAAAGATATTGGTTACGGTAAACAAAAATAAGAAATTTCATAAATTGAAATTATAGTACAACCATTCAAAAAATTGAACTTCTATAATGAATCTTAGATTGCTAACCATGAAATGATTTCCAAGACCTGTTTGAGTGACCCCCCATAGCAAGGCCATATTGTTCTATCACAAAAAAAAAAAGAAAAAAAAAGTAGATAATACAATAAAAAAAATTACGATGTCAACAAGATAATAACATATACAATTTTCATAACTCACATTACAAAATTGCAAAGAGGAGCATTGACCATCACTTATGCCAACATTAACCATTTGTGTAATCTGCGAATCCTACATGTTTAGAGTTAAAAAATTAAGACAAATCACAATAATAAATAGCATCCAAATATTATAATTATAATTTGGATGTTGATGTCATATTGTCATTCCAAGACTTTCTTGTGTTCCAAGTACATCAATCGCTTCACTCGTGGATTGACCATCAACAAGCCCAATGACATCGCTTTCACTCGATCGACAAGCCTGCAAAAAATAAAATAACGAAAGGAAATAATTACTACATTATTATTTTAAAAATTGTCATTTTATTCACACCTTTTCTCCTTTAGTGGTATGATTTTCAAGCGATAGTGTCTTCTTTTTCATTTTCTTTTTTTTTTCTTTGTAACTTGCTCAACTTTTAATTGCTTCCTTTTGAATGGTGGACGACTTTTGCTTTTAAGTGCTAATGAAGTAAGTATATTCCTATCCTTTGATATATCATTTACATCACCGGAGTTTCTACCAACAATCGAGCTAGGACTTGGTTGATAACTTCCACTATCTTCTTCGTTTTGCTGTAATTTCTCCTTTAGGTCATGTATACAATTCATCACAAACGTGCACTTATCTTCATATTCTGTCGCCAAGCTTGCCAACTCGCTAAAAGCATTGCACATTTTATCAAATCGTTTTGCTTCAAGTGTGGCACTCAAACAGTTATAACTGATTTTAATTTTTGTGTGACATTTTTTTATATCCTTCCTCTATCTCCATATGATGTGCTTATCAGGAAGTGAGTAAATCTTTCTACAGACTAACACTGCCACTGCATGTTTGCATAATATTCCTCTATACTCAAACAATAAACAATTGCACTTCACTTCATAATTTTTTTAATTAAACCAAACCTTGAAATTTACACTCTTTTCTCCTCAATCATGATATCCTCAGATACGTTGTATTCAAAAATCAAACCTTCCACTTTGATCGAAGTCAAATCACAATACATCTTCCTTTTCAATTCGTTTTGGAACTCCTTAAATTTTGAGATAGTGTAAACTCTTTGAACTTGTTTCTCCATGTCATAATGGGTTACACAAGGGACTTGCGAAGATAAAGACTTAAATTCTTCTTACTTCTCTTTTTCCACCTTGTCAATCCATTTTCATATTGTTTGACAAATTGTTTCAAGGTAGTCTTATAGTTGACATAGCCATCAAAAAATGAGTTCATACTCTCACTTCGTTGTGTGGTAGACATTCCTGCCCAAAAAATATTTTTCACAAAGATCGGCACCCAAAGGCGCCTCTCATTGTACAACCCCACTCAACCAATTATTATTATGTAGCATGTACTTTTCAATCATTCCATTCCAACTTTCTTCAAATTCAGTACACCTTAATGAATCATAAACGACCCTTTGCACGAAATATTTGATGGATTCATAGTGCTCATAACCTCTCAACTTTTCAGGCAATTTCTTCATGATGTACCATAAGCACCATCGATGTTTAGCTTAGGAAAAATAATCTCAACTGTTTTTTTGCATGACTTTGTCTTGATAAGTAATTATGGCATGCGGAGCTTTCCAAGACATACATGCAAGTCACGATTGAAACAATCAAGTAAATGTTTCTATGTCTTCACTGGAGATCAAACTACATCCAAGCAAAGCCAATTGCCCGTGATGATTAACACCTACAAATGGAGCAAAGGGTATCTCATACTTATTTGTCAAATATGTAGTATCAAATGTAATAACATCATCAAACTCTTGATATGCTGCCTTACTCCTCGCATCAACCCAAAACACATTCCTTAACCAACCCTCATCATCCAAATCCATTGTATAAAAGAAATTTGCATTTTCAGTTTGCATCTTTAAGAAATACTTTTGTATTGTAGAGGCATCTCCTTCCCTGAGCCATAACCGCCTTATTTTCTCAATATAGTTTCTACAATCATTCTCTAAAAAAGAGATATTTTCATGCCCCCAAGCTTCAACCACAAACGAGGTGAAATTTTTTTTTAGTCTAATTCCCGCTCGATCGTTCAATTCAAGCTTCCTTTTCACACGTGGCCTCATCACTCAATTGCATCGAAAAAATTGAGTTTTGCTAGGACTCAACTCATGATTATGATCAAGCATGACAGTGTTCAGTCACCACTTTCTATCTATAGACAAAATTGCTAGGACTTTAGTCTTACAACCTACTTTTATGTTTGGATACGACTTCAATGGATATTTGGAAGTGGACTTCGACTTGCCTGATCGAGAACAAACAATAGTCACATATTTCAACTCATCATCCTCCCCTTTTATTGATGATCTTATCTTCACTGGAAACCCTAACCGCTTACCATAACCCGTGTAGTACTCAAGCAACCGTTTATAACTTTCGAATATCATCCCAACCTTAGGCTCGTCTACATCAACTACATTCGTCATTTCAGTCACAACATTTTCTTCTATCAACTACAAACTACTTGAAGATTCATCTTCCATTGTAATAAAAATTTCCTGCAACACGTGCTTTGTTGATTAACCAAAATTTTGTCTAATGAAAAATATGCCTGAACACCATAACAAAATAAATTTATTTATGCTCCAAAATAACCAACAAAAGGAAATGAATTTTTTTTTTTTTTGTGTTTGACAAATCTATAAATCAAACCTTTGTTTGTATATATATATATAAATCAAAGTAAATAACTCGAAATATAACAATCGAAAATAAGTTGAAGCAACCTCCAATTATTACCCAGAAAATAAATAAAATGAAATTCATGTATTGTAGAGCCGACTATGGTGGAATCAATTTCGACAGATGTTTGGGACAATGTGTACTTCAACGAAGAGATGAAGAGGGAAGAGAACGGCTGACTTCGGCGAAGAGATGTAGCCAACTGAACAACGTGTAATCCGGTGAAAAAGCTTGTCGTTGAAGAAGGGAAGAACACTGATGAAGATGAAGACGAGGAAGAACACCGGCGTTGATGGTTTACTGCTTATGACTGGTGTCAATTTCAAGCGGATTTTTCCAGTGAAGAAGGTGTACTGGTTCAGGTTTTGGGCAGAATTTTTAGGGCTTTGGGGAAAGTAGTTCTTTGATTTGGAGAAAGAGAATGTAAAAACAGGGTTAAGATGTTGACTTTTTAAGTTTTTTTTTTTTTAAAAAAAATTAAGTGGCTTTAGTTATTGAGTTGGTAAGTACACATCAACTGTCACATCATCAATTTACTTATTTAGATCTAAAAATTAAGTTCCAATAACATTACTTTTTGTGAAATTGAAGACACTAAAAATTCAAAATTTTATTTTGAAAGGATTAAAATAACTAAAATATTTTCATTATCATGCGAGAGGTTAGCCAACTATCTTGCAGTGCTTAGAAATGCAGGAAGTGTACTTCGTCTCCAACATCGTGACTGGACCAAAACCTCTCAATTAATCTAAAGCAATCTTCATTGCATAAGATGCGACCCACAGGTTATCCAAGTCTTTATTCTTATCCGTAATGATGACGAACCCACTATGCCACCTTTCACCTTAACAATAAATTCCATTCAAAAATAGGGATGAATCTTCTAGCCGAATCCATTTTGATTCAAGTTCCCATACGCGGTGAAGTGTCATTTTGCTTTTTACGTAGCCGACAATGAGTTAATTTAACCAATCTTATCTCAAGCCGACATAGTGTACACCTGACTTCTTCCAGAGTTGCCACGTTTTCTCATACTAAAGTGTCCATATATTTTGCCGAGGCACGTGTATGGCTTTCTTGCCATGCACCTTCAAGGTCGGAACACGTCCACCACCTTTGTTATCCTATAAAAGGGCCAGCCCCCAGCGAGAGCCTTCTCATCTGAGCATCATTAGAACGTATTTGTTTTGTGAACACTGGTTTTCATCTAGTTAAAGTTCGGTTTTGGATCTTTTTAAGCGTTCGTATTAGAAGAAATGGCGGAATACGGAGAGAAATATGGCAGCCAAGGTCGCCAAACAGACGAGCATGGCAACCCGGTTCAGCACACAGGGGGAACCACTGGCGGTGGGTGCGGTGTCGGCACCGGCACTGGCTTGGGCGGCGGGGAGCCTCACCAGCAGCAGCACCATGGCCCTGGCGGCATTCTTCAGCGCTCTGGCAGCTCAAGCTCTAGCTCTGTTAAGTCTCCCTCTGCCCTCTATTCATTTTCCTATGCCATTGACTTTTTAGATATATTTGAACTTTAACGTTAAATGAAGTCCATTAGTTGGTTTCTAACTTAGGTCTTCATATTAGATACAAATTAATATTATAATCTTTCTAATGGTGGTATCGTGACTGCTTTTATGCAGTCTGAAGATGATGGACAGGGTGGTAGAAGGAAGAAGGGACTGAAGGAAAAGATAAAGGAGAAGCTGCCCGGTGGGCAGAAGGATGACCCGGCGCACTCTACCGGTCCAGGCTATGGTTACGAAGGAGAGCACCATGAGAAGAAAGGAATGATGGAGAAGATCAAAGAGAAATTGCCCGGGCAACAAAATCGTTAAATTTATGGATGTCTCCTAAAAGAGTGTGTGTGTGTGTGTGTGTGTGTCATTTGTGCTTTGTATTTAGAATGAGCCTGGTTATCAACTCTACATACTACGTGGTGTATGATCAATAAGCGATGCTCGTTTTCTTCCGGGCATCTGCCCGTGTGTATTGGCTATGGGTGCTGTTATGATATTTGATATTATGTTATCCAAGGCGTTGTAGTGCTGTGATCTGTGTGAGGTCCCTATTTGTTTGACTGTTTTGTATTTCCTTATGGCTTGCCTACGTTTTCTGAAATCCCATCGGTTCTCCCTGTTCAGCAGCCAGCTTGCTCATTTCTACAAAATCAGAGAAAATGCATCATCTATATAAGTGTATTATACTGTCCAGTTCAATGCCATCACGATCTATGTTTTTGGTATTGAATCATAGTAGACAAAACGTCTACTACTATCAGAAAGACGCATGTTAAGAAAATTCTGTCATTGAACTTGTTTCTCTCTCCCCTCATTCCCCTAATTTATTACTACCATACCCCCATTCGACTTTTCAATTGAGCAACGTGGACTTAAAATTTAAATTTAAAAATTAAACTTAATAATTATAATTATTGATTTTATTGGAGATTTTAGCGTTTATTAAGATTGATTGTCAATTCAATGGTGAAGATTTATCAAATATAATTTCTAAGTCTATCTAATATTATTTTTTTCAGTATCATACCAAAAAAATAAGAAACTATCATTGTGAATTCACCTCTTTTTGGTAAGAACATTTCAAGTGGGGATGATATCCACTAAAAATAACTTTATATTAAAATATATATAGACCGCCTTAAATGCTGGTAAGTCCTTTCCAAAAGGTTATAACTACATTAAAATGTGTAACTGAACTCTAATAGTTGGGTTTATGTTACCATTTTTGGTGCAGTTGTAACATTCTAAGGTGAAGTTATCACCTTTTCAGAAGGACTTGCGAGTTTTTAGAGTGATGTTACTATTTTTTGAGTGAAATTATCGTTTTTTTTTTGTAGTTTATGGTAACCTTTTGGGATGCTCTTGCTATATTTTAGGGGTACTATATGAATTAGGACTTTTTAAGACATTTTTTGTGGCAGTTTTCAAGGTCACAAAAAAATGTTTTTGAAGAAAAAAAAGGTTTTTTTTTGGGGGGTATTATTGTCACAAAATGTTTATTTGTTGTCTCAAATTCTATTTGAGTTGGGTCATTGTCACCATAAAAACTTTTTAAGAGAGCAAATAAATCTTTTTGTGATAGTAATATTACCACAAAAAACCTTTTTTTTTTCAAAAACATGTTTTTTTTATGATGGTAAACACAATTATTACAAAAAAATTTATTTTGAAAGACCCTAATTTTTATAGTGGAGCAAATTACAAATGGAAACCCCTCTACTTTTCTGCATGATATCCAAAAAAAGGTGGATATCGTAATGTTACCCTCGATTCAGATCTCTGCGGCGTTCCAAATATACGAGGGCAAATACTGATTTTTAATTTAAAACATTGGTATTTAAATAAATTTTTGTTGGGTTAGGTCGAGTTACAAGTGAGTAGCTCAACCCATAACCATTGGTCCATAGCTTATTTATTTACCTTTTTTTGTTCGGTGGTTAAGAAATGCGCAAAAAGAAAAAAAAAACTGGTGGTTGGTACAACGTGGCCAATTAAGGACCACGTATGAATTGCAGACTTTGGGCTTGTTTGGAATTCGGTGAAATATGTTGATTTTATATGCTTTGAAGTAAAAAAAAAAGAAAGGACGGACCGGCTTATGCAGCAGTTTTTTAATGGAAAATTGGAAGTTGATATACTTAAAATAGAGTTAATTATAAAAAAATACGAAAAATATTATATAATCAAATATGTAATTCAAATTTACATCTCAAATGAATGTGGATCATTAGATGAGTGAGTCTCATCAACTTTTTTTAATTGAAACTCATTGACCTATCCATCCTTCTTAATTTGGAACGCACATTTGGTATTAAATTTTGGGATATATAGCATTGCTCAAAAAATATACATAAAAAAATGTAAAGTAAAGAAATCCTTAATTTTGATACTTATTTATTTCTAAATACACTATTTGAAATTTCTAAATTTTCTTGTGACATTTTTGTTCACCCTTGATCGATGTGTATATTTTTTTTTTGAAAAGTGGTTTTTTTTTTAAATTATATTTATGCAATAAACATCTCTTAGTTTTTTGGGAGAATTTTAATATTCCATACATTTATGTCATTTCTTGATTTCATGCTTTTTTTTTTTTTAAACTGGTTTTATTTTCAAATTATATTTATGCATTAAATATCTTCTAATTTTATTGAAAAACTTTAATATTATGTTATTTTAGGATATATCACTTTGTTTGAATTTCAAATTTCGTTAATATACGAACACCATAACAGTGTAATAATAACAATGTAATAATATATTTACACAAAATATTATACTATTATATTTTGTCAAATATATATTTTCATATAATTTTATTCAAACAGTCCATTTCTATTTTAAATTTGTTACCATATGCACAAAATCACTGAACACTGTCTTTGTTACAATGTATTGTTACACTGTCTTTGTTATAGTGTATTGTTATACTGTTTTTGTAACACTACGAGGGAAACACAATCAACAGTTAAGAGATACACACAGTTTATTCACACACAATGAATTAATATAGCAGAAACATCGTATTCCACACAGGCCAATGATCAACTTTCAACAACTAGTTTTGGTCTTCAAATGTCGAAGTTCTTATGTATCTTCAAATGACAAACAAATCTTCAAAAAATATATGATGTTGACGATCTTTACATCAAATGGGCAGAACAGTAAGAATTTTCTTTTAAAGACAAAACCCTATATATGTTCATGGAAAAAATTTAGAGTTTATCGTTGAG